CTCAGTCACAAGAGAAGTCTGAGAATTTTCCGGCAGAAGAAGAAGACGAAATCAGCTCGTGTTAACCCGATTACACGACGGAGACTGAGTTTTTCCGGCGGTGAACGGTCGAATTCGTTTGTTGGAACTGATGAGTACATATCGCCGGAGGTAATTCGCGGCGACGGTCACGATTTCGCCGTCGATTGGTGGGCTCTCGGAGTTTTAACGTACGAGATGATGTACGGAGAGACACCGTTCAAAGGAAGAAGCAAGAAAGAGACTTTTCGTAACGTGTTGATGAAGGAACCTGAATTCGCCGGAAAACCGTCGGAGTTAACCGATCTGATCCGTGGATTATTGGTGAAAGATCCGACGAAGCGGTTAGGTTTCCGACGAGGAGCGGCGGAGATAAAGGAGCATGCTTTTTTCAGGGGGGTGAGGTGGGATTTGTTAACGGAAGTGTTAAGACCTCCGTTTATTCCGTTGAGAGATGACGGAGAATTGACGGGAAAAGTAACGGCGGAAAGTGGGTTTGGTATAAAGGAATATTTCGAGAAACTGAAAACGCTGCCGTTACCGTTACCGCACGAGTGTCCTGAAAACAATCCGTTTGTTGATTTCTGATCCACGCGTGGGAGAATCTAACACACGTATAATAGTTTTTTAGATTCTCTTTTTTTTTTCTTTTCTTGTTCTGTTATTTAGCTTTTCTGATTTTGATGTGTATAAAAAAAATTAACTGTTAGAAGGAAAATCAATAAACGGAAAATGTGACGATATAATAAACTTTAAATTAGTATTGTGACAAATTATTGTTATAGAATAATAACTGACGGAAGCCAACAAATTAGCTGAAGAAAAATACGTTGTGATAAATATACATCTTGATCTCTCTATACGTCACCAGCATCAACAAAAGTTTAAACAACGTCACTAGGGAAATAATTGATCCTTAGAGGGAGTAAAAAATCATTAATCCAAATAACTAAGGGAAACAATATAAAAGGACTGTCGAATTATATAACCACAGGGTCTAATTGTTTCGTAAAGCATGGGACTTGATAATTACTACGATGTCTAAACGACACAACGAATGTCATTTTATGTTATTGCAAAGGGACCGTGAGCATCTCTTTGTAGGTGTAATAATAGAAAAATAAAAGATAAAGATAAAAGAGGTATAATAAAAGCCACAATGAAGTAATGAAGCAATTGGTTTCTAATATAAAGTCATCAATAACATTGATGGGAAATATATTTTCGATCAAATATAAAGCATGGTGACATGCATATGTACGTCCATCTAATAGTGGATCAATTATCTTAGCAATTTAATTGTTTTTTCATTAAAGAGGAAAATATAAACTTTAGATATGAGACAATGAGAATAGTAAAAGTTTTTTCACTAGTTGAAGCTTATTTAGATTAGGGATTAGACAATAGTTTATGAATCATGTAAATTATAAATTCAAGTTTGGAGATTCACATGTTCTTTTCCGTGGCTCCATATATTCTTGAGTTGGATGGTTGCCTATTTGTTGATGATCTATAATGAGAAAACGTTGTAATAAGGAGATGTTAGATGATAGATATTTGTGTAACTGATTGAAAAATGTTTAATAACGAATTTTTGTAAACAACGGCTTCAATACAATTATTTCTTTACTTTTCTAGATACGTCGTATATGAACAATTCTTGCGTGATGAATATTCTAATCCTTCGAATGTTAATCACTTAAATTTCTAGGCATCGTTTATTCACCAAATCATTTTCCATCATATCAAATCATCTAAGATACTAAATGACATCGGAGGAAAATCTAATATATATGTCGATGTGTGGCTACAATGGATCAATTATTTCCCCTACTTTTATACTATGTTGAAATATGGGCGAAAAAGTTAAGGTGCATAAGAGCAAGTCACGGGTTAGATGAACCTTGGCAATATTAAGAACACACCTACAAATAAGGTTGTCCTTTTATAAGTTGTTCGGCCAAATTTGCACAACAGTGAGATACACTAACATGTACGAGCTAGAGTTAGATTCTCTTAATGTGAAACAAAAAAACGAATTGTCGAAACATAATATATCATTTGAAGATGATAATAAAACTTACGATGACTATTAATTCGGAGGTTAGTCAGAAAAGTATATTGTTTTCAACAGAAATATTGATCGACATGCAACAAGAATTGATTAGAATAATTTAACCCTTTTTCGGGGCTCACTTGATTATTTTGATTTTGGAGAGAACATCCACCATTGACTTGATGATACTTTTGAGTAGTGAGAGAAGACAAAAAGGAAGGAGAAAGAAGGGGACAAAGACTACTGACATTTACGAAAATTGACAAAACTAATATTTGATTTTGAAGAAAAACCTCATAGAAAAAACAGAGGAAATAAAATAATTAGAGGAAGCAAAAGAAAGACAAAAGGGTTTAATGCGTAGAAAATCATCTCACGTGTTGTGTCCTGCCAAAACCCATCAGCAGCCCAACCCCCAAATGCAGCTATTAACGAATTAAAAATTACTACATTGTCTAACCTTTAAAATATATAATATTTTATTTACTTTAATAATTCAGTTTTAAATAGTTTAGAGTGGGTGTGTTGTGGTAGCAAAACTTGATAACGATTTCATAACGAACACAATTACGCTTCGTTGCTTCATATCCCATAAACATCATTGATAACAAGCCAATACAGTGAGTTAAAAAGGGTGAAACAAGAAATACATTTGCAGAGAAAACAGTCGAACTCGATATTGATCTCTCTACTGCAATTTTCTCCTCTTTAGAGATTGTTCAGAAGAAAGTTATGTTGAAGCAGAGAAGTTCCAATGGACAAATCAGTAATGCACACACTATGAGATGCTCCTTACGTACTGGTCAAGTGCAGTGTTGAACAACTCCGACCTTAAAGACCAATGAAACATAATCAATAACCGGTTTGATCGATGCAATAAGATATTATGATCGGAAATATGGTGAAGATAAAGAAAAAAAACATATGGTTAAGATGCAAGAATGGAAGATATGTTTGAAGCTTACTTGATTGGAGATCCTGGGCTGTATATAGGATTTTTTACGACATATTCAACGTATAAACTGTAGATGTACTTTAGGGATTCACGTAAATCTCCCGTCTTTGGATGAGTTACTAAGATAATCTGCCAAAAAACATGAGTGGTTAAAGTATCTAGATGTCTGTTTGGTATAGTGGTCAAAACAACAATTCAGGAATCTAAGCTTCGAGCTAATATCTTATCATGAAGATTCTATCTATGTGTACCCGTAAAAATGAATCAGGGAACACAATCTCAGTTTCTACCAAGATTCTTATTATCAGAATGGTTGGTCCACAAAATCTAACCGACACCGTAAGTATCATCTAAATTCTGTATGCCAATGGGAAGAACTAACCATACAGTGCAACTATAAGCTTTCAGTCTTATTGATTAAGATTGTGACTGGATCCTAACATTATCTTTTTTCAGCGGAGCTTAATTTTACCTATGATTCATAATCTAATATGAAAAATGATCACCATCAATGAATGAACCATCTCCTCATGCTTGTTAAAACGTATCAATATCTGTTGAGACATAAACTCAGCTCAGATTGTTCTACTCTGAGAAAACAACTAACTTGTATTCCCTTTTCTCCTCCTGCATACAACATGCTTGAGTCTGAATACACTTGTACCCTTCAAGAAAGTAAGCAACCAACCTATCCTTCCTTCCTACTCAGCTCCCTATTTCCCCTATTGTTCTATATAGAAACTCCTAAGACTCTCCATGTTCCTTAAGTAGACACTAAGATAGAGTGACCTTGGGGTTAGACTTTACAAGAGCCAGCTCTTCTCATTCATACAATAATTAGACAGGTTCCAGATTATCTATACTTATCCTATTGAAACTAATATTTGAGACATCTAAAAGCAATGAAGCTAACCTTAATACCAGAGGGAGTCTCCATGAAACTTAGCTTGTAAGTGTTTGTACGGAAACTGTGGAAAGAGCAACCTTGTCCTGGCAACTGTGGAACCCCTAGATTTCCCTTATCCGCACTACAAAATCAAATTCAAAACCACAAATCATAAGATCTACCAAATCACTTGGATTCAAACTAATCAGCCAAATCAATCCAACACAGATCACACAAATCAAATCGAAATCCTCAAACTATACACACAAATCATCAAACCATCAAATTCAAGCGAAATCGATCAAATCAAAGGGAGAAATCTAACTTGACTGGATCCATCTTAGCGGTGAGAGATTTGAGAGAGAAGAGAAGACCAAACATGAGCTTGTGATCTTGCTGAGGATTAAGCGTATGAAGAGGCCGATTCCATTCTTTGTAGAGAAGACATACACCGTTACGATTGAAAACGTACATCATGTGCGCGTTGTTTCCACTCGCCGTCGGAACCGGCGGCGACGGACTTATCTCAGATCCACCGAAGAACTGCATTGCTTTCGTCGTCTCCGGGAGAAAAAAAAAAGTTTTTCCGTTGAATCAAAAATCAAAGATGAGATTGTCTCGATGAGAGAACGAAACAGTTCGCGTCTTTTACTCTTTACTATATTGGGCTTAATTGGGCCTTATTTAATAAAACTTTAAAATGGGCCAAGCCCATAAAACCAAGTTCAAAAAATTATGAATCTATTGCCAGACGATAGGTTTTTTTTTTTTTTTTTTGTATAAGATTTTCTTTTATAAATATAGTAAAAATTTGAAAAAGTTTATCCATGAGATATATATGAATATTGTGATGAAAGATGAAAAATTAACAAATTTTATGTCTTCCAATAACAAGAGTTTACATTTTTCTTAATTGAAAACACTAATATATCTCACTCACCAAACCCTAATATCCAAAGGTTGAGACGAAAAACAACAATTCGTCGTCACGTCTCTAAAATCAGTTCTTTACTGCTCTATTAACATCCCGTTAATTAACCAGCAGGTATATTCAATTTTTGTATTCTAGATTTAACATTATATATGCCCTTGGATCAAGCTGTATCGATCTATATCCTCCTTATATGTGTAATTGTAAACTATTATAAATCGTTTCGAATTCCAACAATATGGAAATTATACAAAGTCAATTCCTTTGAGAAGATGAGGGATTTGTTTCTTGACTATGCAGTTACTTGTGCAATCTTGAATCTTGATTTTGTTTTCTTGACTTGTCAAGATCCAATGTTCACGTGGGTGATTAGGGATTTCAAGTCTCTGCAAGACCGGAGAGTTCAGTCTGAGGAATTCAACGTCGATGGCTGCACATGGTATGTGAATGAAATCTTGTTTTTTTTTTTTTATGATTCCATGGTTTTTTCTATTTTGATTGTTTTTTTTTCTTTTTTCTTTTAGGTCTGTACTGGTCTATCCCAATGGAAAAGAAGGGGATAACTACTTGTCTGCGTCTCTGCTCGTTAGTAATTTTCAAGATTTGCCTCCTGGATGGTGGATAACCACAAATTTCAGCCTTTGCATTGAAACCAATTCTCGTTACCGCCGTCGAGTATTAGCAGCTAGCGAAAAATGTTTTGATGCGAATAATCCTTCGTGGGGTAAGATATACTGGTTGCACCGTAGGGAGCTTAATGGTTTTCTGGTGAATGGTGACCTTAAGATTGTCGCACAAGTAGAGGTTCTCAACAAATCTACTCACGAGGAGATTGATTTAGACTATGAACATTGTTAAGCTTTCTTTTTTCTTTTTTTAAACCTTTCTAGCTGAACGATTAAAATCCCAAAATAATGGTTGTGTAAGTTATAACATTGCAGTTTCGCCTATTTAAATAATAAGGAAGATGAAAAGAACTATATTTGGTCCAATATGGTGAAGTGTACCGCTTTTATGTTGATACATTTCTTTCTTTGCTTTCTAAAGTGATGTAGGAGAAATTTAGGGAATTTACCTTCTCTTTTAATATTTACTTATTTCACGTTTTCTATTTTGTTTAAGGGTTTTCTATTTTATGTTTTGGTTTTATTCTCTATATATATAGAGATCCTAGGTTATTTATCGGAGACGTTTTTTATTCTAATTAATAAGAACAGAGAGCTTTCTCTTTTCCTGGTGGATTCCAGACCCTTTTCTGGTGGATTCCAGAGTTTTATCATTAAGTTCGTCGCTAGCGAACTTGATTTCAATCTAGGTTTAGCGCTTGCTTAACCTAGGGTTTTCCGACTGCGTCAAGTGGTATCAGAGCAGGCTTTCTCCTGTCTCTTTTTGAAGCTTGATAGGCCATGGGAGATCAACCGGTTACCAAAGCAGATTTCGAGGGTTTTGCGTCGACTATTACCACGACTCTTACCACGGCTCTTACTGCTTTGACCAATCAGATGATGTTATTGACAACCGAGATCAGAAACGGCAACAACAACACAAATCAACAAAGAGGCAGAAGAGAAAAATCAACTAAAGATCTACAGAGTGGAATTGATTTTGAACATCAGATGCATGTATTAATCAATAAGATTAAATATCAACACAAAACTAGAGAGGAAGCGCTTCGGGTTCCACGAGGAGAAAACAATCGTGTTGTGATTGATGAAAATACAAGTTCTAATGAAGAATCCATGAAGGAAGAGATTGGTCAAGAGAATCTACATAATAATTATGATTCTCACATGGATGCTAAAGAAGAACTCGTGAAGGACGAGATAGTTGATCAAGGGAATAAACAAAGCAATCATGTGAAGACTGATATTCTATTATTCTATGGAATTTCAGAAGTGGATGAGATGTTAATTACTCCAGAAGAGAAGCTAGTGGTACAAAGGAATCTCAAGACGTTAATTGCACATGAACATGAGAAGCACTACAAGGAAGAGAATCCAAGGAGAAAGAAATCAAGCGTCTTAGTTATGATTCATTACAAGAAAAGGCTAGATGAGAATTTCAAAAAAACTAATGGGTTGATAAGTGTTGTTAAGAAGAAGACAACAATCCCAGAGGACCTTCCAGAGATTCTAACTAATTTGAGAGAGTTAGATTCAGACAGTTATTTACATGACTTCCCTCCTATGCGGGACAAAGCAAATGAGATTCTTTATTCAGAAGAGAACTTGAGGACAAGTTCTTCAGAAGTGGAGGAGACTGATGTAGGAGAAATTTAGGGAATTTACCTTTTCTTTTAATATTTACTTATTTCACGTTTTCTATTTTGTTTAAGGGTTTTCTATTTTATGTTTTGGTTTTATTCTCTATATATATAGAGATCCTAGGTTATTTACCGGAGACGTTTTTTATTCTAATTAATAAGAACAGAGAGCTTTCTCTTTTCCTGGTGGATTCCAGAGTTTTATCATTAAGTTCGTCGCTAGCGAACTTGATTTCAATCTAGGTTTAGCGCTTGCTTAATCTAGGGTTTTCCGACTGCGTCATAAAGTTCTATACTCAATAAAATTTTCTTTTGTGGTTATATAGAAGTTTAACTGGAAAATCTCATAGGGTTGAAATTTGAAATTAGTCATAACTAATTTGGTCATGAAGAGAAAGCTTAGAGTTGAGTTTGGTGTTTTTGGTGTACAAATAAAAGTCCCTTCCAGGAAACGTAAAGATCTATCATTGTTTTCCTTTTCGAATATTTCTTCTGCTTTCTTGCATGTTTCCTGGTGATGAAGATGAGGTGAAACCATTTTAGGATACAAACACTGGAAAAATTCAGACTAAGAGAGTTGTGGTTGAGCAGTAGGTAAGTACTTATGGGGTTGTTTTTACCTCCCGGCTCTGTTTCTGAGCGTTTAGTTCCTTGATGTTAGCTAGAAATGGGCTGAACTATCCGTAAGACATTAAGGCTTATGGAAATTCAAAAGTGCTTAACCTATCTTTCATTCACATTTAATTACTAGTTGCTGGCTCTAGGAATTTATAAAAGAGCAGTAGGTTGTATACATTTTTTCTTTCAAGTAGAATATGATGAAAAGGAAAATATAGATGGACAATGAACCAACTTGTGACAAAATATATATATGCTTCATTCATCATTTATTTTTTCTGTGTTTCAAAATGGGAATTCTATGTATAAGAAATCCATGAAAACCACTTCCTTTTCTCCAAAGCAAAAATGTATGAAATGGGAAAAATTATTTAATTTATCTTTGATTTTTTTTTATATAATTATTTTTATATTAGAAATAAAGTTGTTTTGGTTCATTGCGTTGCGATGGTTTTGGTTAAAGCTTGTATGCATGTGTTGATGGTTAAAGGTGAGAATGTTTTTAGTGAGAGATTGACTATTATCTTGACTAATTTGTTTATATTTTGGATGGCTTATAATGTTTTATTTTGTAGGATTCACTACTAAGCTTTGGAGAAAGAAGAAGAACTTTTTTGCTTTTTTTAGTGATTTTGCTTTGTAAGACGACATATGTAGGAAATTTGATAGGAATGGACGTTAATCAAGCCCACAAGATCTTTCGGTAGAATATCCCCAAAAGCTAATTTATGAGTTTTGGTGTTCTTAAGTTTTATATAGCGTTGATTATTTCCATTCCTATCCAATGTGGGATATTTTATCCACATCTCTATCATTACCGACCACTTCAAACAACGACCTCCGCAGTACTAGCGGCTGGTCCTAGGCGGCTTGCATTCCCTTAGGGTCTTTTTCCATTGGGCCTTATCCAAATTGGACTTTTTCTCAATAATATATGCTCCTCTCCCGTTTGCTCCTCTCTAGCCCATAGACGTGTGGCGGGTCGGCCATTCCGGCAAATTGATCCAATTGATAGGAACGGGCCTTAATCAAGCCCACAAGACCTTGAGGTTGAATATTCTCAAAAACTACCTTTAGGTCTTATATAGTGTTGATTATTTCCCCTCCTATCCAATGTGGGATATTTTACCGACATCTCTACCAAAATTCATTACCTGGTGATGTGAGGTTCTCTTGGTAAACTGATTTAAAAGTTTATTTGGTTTTTGGGGATTATGAAGGCAGTTTTGGTTATTTTATAAAATAAATATGTTTGATGGTTATCATTCTATTTATAACCCTTTGCTTGTGAACTTTAACTAACGGTTTGGCGCATTCGTTCCCTGTATGGATTGTTTGAGGGTCTTTTAAAAAATCATTTTGAATCTTTTATTTTGCATATTGTTACATTTTTCTATAGTGTTATTGTTTACTTATGTTTGAAGTGTTATTATTGAGTCTTTGATCCTTGGTGATAAGAAAAAGAGTCTTTGATCCAATAAGACACTGCTATTGTTGTTATGATACTATATTTCATGACAATATTAATTTTGAGTCTTCTCTAACTAGACAGTTATACTAATGCTAGTGTGATAATATGTTTACATGAGTGTATATCGTCTTCAAGGTTGTGGAAGCTTCTTTCTTTATTGCATGTTTCATATGCGTTTTGAGTTTTTCAGAGCACATTTTTGAGTTTTTTCAGAGCACAATCTCACATGGAAAATTAAAGAACTATGTGTTAATAAAATACATTTCTGGTTAGAGAGCGGTGGTCGAATGGCATCATCAAGCTTAACAGGAAAGTTATAGTTCAATGAAACTTTCATTATGAAACCATATATAGATTACTCAATGCATAATTAGATTTCAAGAAAAAGGAACATAAAAGATTTCATCCGACTTTGAGGGTTTTTGGTTGGCAATCTCCACCAAAAAGAGATGCTTGTTGCAACCATCCTCCTTTATGGAAAGAACTCTTGTCCCCTACTCCATAACCGTCTTACTAATTTGTGCAGATTTTCTTGTTCCGGTGAGACTAGAGGTTGTGGATCTGTCTACAACGTCACAACGTCTATCGATAGTGACTACTCTCCCTTTTCACGATGCGTTCGTGATTGTGGCTCCGACTTAGCTTTGGCTCGCTTGTGGCAAGTTGTCCTACAACTCTTGTCTCTAAGATTTCATGGTGCTTATGTCGGATTATCCTATCTATCCTTATGTTCACTTTTTTGAAATCTTTAGAATTGTTGTTTTCAGGCCCGGCCCACGGGCCAAGCAGGTGAAGCCACAGATTAGGGCATCACATATTTTAAGGCATATTTTAAGCCCAAATTTTAAGCATTTCAAGTGAAAATAATAAATAACTAAGATTTTTTATAAGTTAATGTTAATATTAATTAAATAAGCTTGTTATTTATGAGTTTTAAAGTAAAATTTTGGTTTAGAAAAACAAATTTAAAATCCTAAATTTAAATCTTTAATCAAAAAGTTTTCATAATCAAAGAATTTTATGAATATGATTTTTTCTGTTATTATGTTTTGTAATTTTTATACAATAAAAGGATAAAAGGGCATTTTTAAAAATTCAGCATAGGGCATCTAAAATTGCCGGGCCGGCCCTGGTTGTTTTAAACTTTGAGTTTACTAAACTGTAAACTCCTAAAGTCTTTGTACTCATTTGAGCTATTAAATGAAAATAAGCCTTTGCCCCCAAAAAAAAAAGGGACTAAAAGTGCTGAAAAAGAGCTAAAACCAAAAAGACTTTTCGCATACATTTTGGTTATAGAAAATTAGAAAATGCGAAAGATTCTAAATTGGTGGCTTACTATTTCTAGGAAGAGGATCTTCACGCCTAAGTTCCACGTGAGATTGTGCTTCTTCTGTTGTATTCCACCTCGATTCTCACATTCTCAAACCTTATCTTTTATTTATGGATATTGTTTTCTTTGTTCCAAAGTAACGAGTACTTTCTTAACACCAAAATATTTTCTTACAAAAAAAAATATAGAAAACGGTTATAATTAATATTTAGCTAGCTTTTGCTCTGCAGTTACTATTCTATGTTAAACAACCCACATCTTCAAATAGAAAAGTTGCTAAATTCATTGCTGATTTAGGATTATTAAAAAT